GACTTCTCTGAAAGACTAAAGGAAAAAGTGTCATGTAGCATTCAGGCAAAGAACTGATAGTTTCAGAATAGAATTTGTATCACTGAGCATCAGATGCTGTATCTACATATCACCAACCTGTCTGTAACCAATTATGCTCTTAAGGGACAGGTTTTGCTAAAAACATCTTACTGAAAAGTTTAAAGGCCAGGTAGCTTTTTCCAGTGTCATTTAATATGATTCTGTGACTGTCTGTGAACACACAGAGAGAGACTCTATGGACCAAACTAGGCAGCAAGCCCTCTCTCTTAAAAAGCCCTGAGCAGTTCATAAAGCTACATTTGTTTTTTCTTCTCACATTTCTTTCTGTTGCTGTTAACTCTGGTAAACACAATGTTCTAAGTAATGTTTTTCTTTTTTTCTTCAGTTTAACTTTGATAATTAACAGGAAAAAAAATCTGGTGCTCACAATGGGCAGTGGTGCCTCATTTGTTGTTGTTTTGCACCAAGTGTGGAAGAAACATCCTCTCCACCGAGATTTCCTGGGACTGTATACATTGAAAAGTGATAAACTTTCTGAACAGACCCATGGATTATTAGGTATGACTTTGTTTAGTGTTTCCCTGCTGGTCTTTCCTTATGAGGCTACATAATTTATAGACAGAATATTGTACTTGTGCTGAGAATAATCACATCCAGAAATTTCAGAGATCAACACATGGATTATTTGATTATTTAAAAGTGGAAGACTTGGAAAATATGTAATAAATTCAACAGAATAGACAAAATACCAAGTGAGGATAACCTGAAGGATATCTAGAAAAGGCTGTAATTGTTCTGTGCAGTCAGAAGCTGGAGCTTACATGCAGATGATGTGGATACAATTCTGGGTTATAAATAGAAAATAATACCAATAACACCTCAGGCATATGTTCAGCTTACCTGAAACTTGGTGTTTGCTTATCAATCCAAACTCTGAAGGGACATGGAAACCAGCACAGGAATGTAGAAATCCTAGGATTTCTGTTTGGCTTGCTTCTGTTTTAATGTCTGAAACGGTAATTTTAGCTTCTCTTTTTAGGACAGTTTTTCCGGCCCATTGACTTCACCATACTTGAAATTCATCCTGGCTCTGATCCCAAGAAACCAGATGCCACAATGATTGTTAAGAACAATGAACTGACAGTAACCAGGTACAAAATAATGAAGCCCTTAGCAAAGACTTAGGCAAGAATCCTTGTGCAGGTGCAGTTCCTACCTCAGTACTCCATGGCTGTGCTTTCCCTTTCAGGGGCTGGCAGAAGGATTTCAGAAGAGATCCTACACACGGGGTCGATATTCCTTGCTGGTTTGTCCATGACAATGGAGCTGGGCTGATAGATGGTGTTCACACAGATTATATTGTTTCCAGTCTCTTCTAAGCAACTTCCTCCAAATGCACAGGCAGACAATATTTGTCTGAAAGAACAGTATTTTCAATGTAAAAGATCTATTCAAAGCATATAAGCATGCATGCTTAGCAAGGACAAGGTATGATGGATTCTCATAGAGAGTTTTACTGTGTATTTGATCCAATCTGAAGTGCAAGATCCCTCATCCTCTGAAGTGACCTCCTTATTAGGTTTAAAATTCTGACTTAAAATGTTACTTTGTTACATAACAGAAACCCTCTACTCAATTTTTAATCAATAATTGAGTGACAGGAGTGATTAAATAAAAGTATCAGTACTCAGTGCCTGGTTCCGTTATTCTGACAGCTCAATATTTTCATGCCAGTTTCACAAAGCCCAGGGTGCCAGATGCATTTTGAAATTGAGCACAAGAGGACATCTGACAGCCCAGCCCAGATTTTGGGATAATCCCGTGGTATTTGGAACCACCTGAGCTCTTGACTCTGCACAGCTGCTGCCAGCACAGGAGGTGATTGTTGGTATCCAGGAGTTCTGTATTTTAGCATTTTAATTTGAACCTCTCTTTTGAATGTCTGAATCTTTATCAATTAATGAAACACCAAGGTTGTAAGCAGCACTCACATTTGAGTAATAGTAGTTCTTTTGGACTGTATCTTTCTTGAGGAAGACCCTTCCTTCTGTTCCCATAAAAGAATTTATGGACACATTCAGGGCAAGTGCCCCATTTATTTATATATGCATTTTTTACTGCAAGAAATTGCAAGCTCTTACTTCTAAAGCAAAAAACCCACCCAACCAAAAACATGTTCTCTCCCTCCCATATTTCTTATTTACTTCAAGATTCATTTTAATCAAATCAGCCACAAAAAGGCAGTTGTGGTCTCATATGGCAAAGCAGAAAATTTCCCAACAGTAGTAGGACAAAAAAAGTCATTGTGTGGAAAACTAGAATGTGGAACACAGAGAAAAGAGGAGTGGGAAAAATGAGTGATAGAAGATATGATAGGTCAAATTGAAAGAACAAGGGTAGAGGTGAACAAAAATACAGCAGAAAAATCAAAGAGGAAAAAAATGGAGGAAAGATACACTTACTGCTAAATTTATGGGATATACAGGCCATTTGAGGAGCATAATCCTTTACTGAAAGCAGCAGTTGTGTAGGAGAAAATAAATAGGAGAGGGTTCAGGGTGTCACAGTGGCTGCAGATCTTTGCTAGCTAAATCCAGACAGAAATGGTGAAAGAAAGCAGGTAATTCCTACAGAAGGTAGTAAGTGACTGGAAAACAAGGAAGGCAGGGAGAACAAAAGGAAGGAGTGAGAGAACATTGAAACTAGTAAGTTTAAGTTTACATGGTTCTAAATTTTTATTGTAAGGGAATTAATTAGATGGAATAGAATGAAATAAAGAAATGATCCATTTTGGATCCTGAGACAGGAGCTGTGGCACTGTCCATGGGGCTGGTCCTGTACTCCCTTGCTCCATTAACACCACAAAGCAGAGCAGTGGACAGCAGACCTTGACCTCCCTGGCTGGCAGAGTTTGGGCACAAGGCAATCCTGGCCAGCTGGAACTTTCCTGTTTGATTTATGGGGATGAGGCAAATCTCTGGAGCTGGCAGGAGTCCTGTCTGTGACTGATTTGGGAGTCACGAGCTGCTCTCAGGTCTGCTTTTGTGTGGCTCCTGTTCAATAAGCACTCAGAGATTCCTGTAAGGCAGGAGGTAACAGCAAATGTAGCTAAAGGTAACAGAGGGCAGAGAGAAGCAGCAGACAGATGCTCACAGTTAGATAAAATATTTACTCCTCCTGCTGATGGCTACAGTGTTGGTTAAAAAGAGAAGTGTGGGGCCATATCCTGTGAGATATGCATAGATCTGTTACATATCCACTGACACTATTTTGTATTGGAATTAGAAATTACAAAATGCCAAATATTCATTACTGCATCTGCCTCCAGCTTCTGAGCAAGGGAAGGGAACATAGGAAATCAGAAACCCACCAGAACTCACTTCAGGGCTTGGAAATCACAGGAGGAAAGTGCCTAAATAACAAATGAAGACAAAATTCAAGTGAAGAGTGGAATGGCACCTACTTACAGAATGGAAAGCGCAGTGCAGAGGGGAGCAGCACTACATGGATTGGGGAGGTGCAGCAGCCAGGCACACCTGCAACTTCGGGCTGCTGCAGAAAGCACAGAAACCTCTGTCAGCACAACTTGTCTATTCAAAGTCAGATAAAATCTTTGAACAATATGAGGAGTTTGTATTGTACCTTAATAAATTCCCAGGCCCAGTGTTTCTTTGCAGCAAGGGAGAACTGCATTAGCAGGGCAGCAGCTGCCTGGGAAAGCTCAGGCACTGCACTGTGAGTACAGCTCTCAAGCATGGCCTGTGCCAGATTGAGCCTCACTTAAAGCACAGGGTCCCAGGGGAAAGCTGCCCCTGCCATGAGCCACTGCTCCCTGCTCAGTGCTGTTTGTATGCCTGCTGCTGGCAGGAGGTGACACACAGACACCCCACAACTGAAAGCAGGGAATATTTAATTTACAGCAATTCTGCTGATATAACCCTGGATCAACAGCTTGTGATTCAAATCCCAAGTTCATCTATAATGGAATCAGATTGGGAAGCCTGTTTTTGATGCAGTGAAGTGAGCAATCTGGTACTTCCAGTCTCCAAATTCCACAGTTTGTCATGTAGTTTGTGCAGCAAAATCAGCACCTTGAAAGTACAAGCAATTCACACAAACATATCTTGGCATTGTGTCTGCACAGTTCTTTCAAAAAACAGGCTTCTAATTACACAGTTTGTTCTAGCTTATTGACTTTGGCAAGAAATTATTTCTCTTTTAGTACATTGCTTTAAAATAAAAAAGTGTTTTCCCAGTTATTTATTATTGGCATGATAGAAAGAAACTTCTGTTAAACTGCCTATAATGCTGGCATATTTATAGGTTCAAAGATACAAAGGAACTGAAATTCTAAACCAAAATAATTTTGGAATTAAAACTTACAAAAAGCAGAAGACTGAAACTACAGCTTGGCTTTCATGGGCAGGGGCTTCTGTGTGTGTGTTTACTCTGCAGTGTTACCTCCGTGCACAGCAGGTTGGGCTTGAGATGTTCATTATTTGTAAAACATCTTCCAATGTTTGCAAAATGTATGAAATGGAGCCAAAAAAAGCTGCTAACTTTTGGGGTTGAAATGCAATGTTTTGCAACCAGAAGTTTTGCAATCAGCCAATGGCTGCTCTGCAGATGTTTCCAAAAGGGAGCCTCAGAGGCTTTTGCAACAATGAACCAGAGCACAGCTGGTGTGGGTTTGCAACGCCCCCTCTCTGCTGATTTAATGAGCTTTGAATGGTCACACAGAACAACCCCTGAGAGAGCCCTGATACAGCAATAAAATAGAAAATGAGAGACATGGTAAACAAATACTGCCTCAAACTTCATGGTGTTTTCACAAAATGCATGGTTCAAGAACACCACCATCTACAACTGGATAAAGTCTTAGAGATCTATTACTGTTTGCATGACACATTTCTTGGCTTGGATGATGCCACTACTGATTTCTCTTTGGAAACATAAGTCCATGTGTCCATATCAAACTGTGAACTGATAATGTCAATTTTATTTAGTTCATTCACATAAATCTTCAACAACAAAACCACATGGCAGATTAGAAACCATTTTCAAATAGCAAACAAGCAAGGACCGTTATATCTTAAAAGTATAATTATTTCAAGATAAAATATCTGTGACACATATATAGAGCAACAGTAAGGCTTTAACTGTGGTTTTCTTGATGAAAGTACCAAAAATACTTGGAAGAGCTTCATTTCCATAATTTCCTTCAAAGATTTTTTTTCCTAGGGAGTTAGCTCTATTGACCAGCAGGAAACAGGTTCACTGGCTGACTCAAGCCTGTAATCTTTCTTGTACAACCTGAAATGAAATCAAAACAAGAGAAGATGTGATAACACAATCAAGGGGCAGGGTCAGAATTGCCCTGATGTGCAGATGGTACCAGGAGTCGGAGGTCTGGGTGGGCACAGTTGCACCTCAGCACTCCCAGGACCTGCACGCTCACAATGATTTTTCCCCATCACAGATGTGTGCTAAAAGCAGTTGAAGGATAGAAAATTTTCCTGCTGGTAAATCCAGTTGAGGGAACAACTAACAAAAGGCTAACAATGCAAGCTGTACCCCCAGGGTGTAATTATTTCCCCCAATGAAATAGGAGCCTGGAGCCCTGTAGCATCACTTAAACAACAAATGCAAGCTTTTGAGGAAAAAAATTAAATGCAAGTTATTTACATTAAAGAGGTGTGTTCTTACAAACACTCCCTCAGTTTCATTTCTTTAGATCTCTGGTATTTGCTGATAAAATACATCTCAAAGCACACCCCCTCCCCTCCCTCCATATCTGGTACCTGGAAACTTTGTGCTCAGATCCAGACACTCTCAGGAGTCTTTCCACAGCTCTCTGATCATTGTTGGAGTTACTCCTAAATTGTGCTTTTGAATAAAATTGACCTAAGCAACAGACACAGAAATTATTAAAAATTACAAACCAGCTGAGTGTTGCTGTTTAAGCCAAATGGCAGTTCTAACACCAGGAGAGCAGCTCTTCATCTCAGAAAACAAATCAAAGATCCAGTTTGGATACTCCATTAGTAAGATTAGAAAATTCCTCTGTTTCATCTGTGATCTCCTGTTATCCCTAACACTCTCCATGGGAAGGTTCAGCCTTTCTCTGATGATTTTTCACAATTATTTCTTCCTTGTGGTTTTTGGAATACGGAGCCTCTTTTTGCAAAGTTTCCAAAACAACTTCAACTTAGGTCCCACCAGGATTTTTGGAGCCAAGATGTTCAGGAGCAGCTGGCTTTCATTTCCTAACTGTGATTGTTTACAATTTTATGTCCATTATTTATAGTCTGTTATTTGACATCAAATGGATTTTCTGCATCAGTCATGTCATTCCACAGCACTGTTGAGGTTAAGCCCAACTATTATTTCTGTCTTATTTTAACATCTTCTAAACCCATAATGGGCTACTTAGGGTGAGTGGAAAAGCATTATGTTATGCATTATGTTTCTAGGGTGAGGCCTCCCCTTTTTGGGATTGCTGGGCAGTAAAAGTTAAATGTCCAAAAGGAATAAATTAAATGCAAAGTTTCTCAAGAACTCCCTGACTACAGTCTCATTTCAGGAGCTGAGTTACAAGAGCATTCTTTGCTGCACACATCCATGCTGATACACACCCAGAACTCCAGTGACTTTGTCCGAAAAACGGTCGGTGTTCAAGAAATAGAGCCCAAGGAAATCTTCTGGAAACCTGACCAAGGAAATTTTTACTGTGACCGTATCAGGCAGTGATGCTGTAACACTCTTTTCCTTTTCAACTGACACTGTCAGCCTAGGAAGTAAATTAGGAAATTATTTCCAAGAAGAATGTGAAGAAAGAATATATATTTAAGTAACTGACATTAATTAATCAAAATAATTTAATTTTTTGCCTTTTGTCTCTTTGCAAGTGCATTTTTCCTGCTCTGTTTGTAGTTATCTTTAAGCTGGAAAATATTGAGTAGAATATCTTTTCTCTCCATGCTTCACAACGGGTCTTGCAAATATACCAGGGGACAATTTTTTGCTGATGAATACACCTTATTATCCACAATGACAAGAAATGCTTGGATGGGAAAAAAAATTTCTCACCATTTTAATGAGAAAAAAGGTAGACTAATAATATAATTCAATCTTTTTTTTTTTTTTTTTAATGAACAAGTCAAATATTTTTTTTTTCTTGGCTATTTCACAAGTTTTTCAGATCTTGCCTTTCTTCTGACCCATTCATATTATTGTGATCCCAGGTGGTCTTGGAGAACACCAATGTCCCTGTCATTTTGCTCCCTGCAGACAGGATTAACAAAGCCACCCCCAAAGTGCTGATGCAAAGGCTCGGGTGCTGGGTTGAAGCAGAAGGATCATTCTGCTTGGCAAATTATACTGGGACATAAATCCAGCCAGCTCTTGGCTCTGCTGGACTGCAAGAATAATTGAAAGCAGTTGTTGTAGGAGTTGTTATTGTCTAGAACTGTGTGTGTGGGAGCAGCAATGTGTGTCCTGTCTGCCCCAGGCCAGCAGGGGATCCTTGTGGAGACTTGTTCCAGCAATATGAAAAGGCTGGGGCAACCAGCTCCACTCAGCTCTGGGGGTACTGAAGGGTCCTGCTCTAATTACTCCAACAAATGAAGTCTGCTTTTAAAGTATCCCTTCTCCTACAGTGGATATTTAATACAGACAGCTATTCCAACACTTTATGCCTGCCCATAAAAAAATGTCAGCTTCCCAGATGGGAGTTATTGCTAAAACTGAGGAGAAAGAAAACCCCAGCCTGTGTGGAGCCAAGTGCTGTATAAAAGGGACAGTAAATGTCAAAGCCATCACTGGCAGTGCTTGCTCTGCCCTGGAGGAGCACTAAGTGGCTGCTGGTGGCACCAGGCTGCTCTGCATGGCTCCTTTCCATTGGAACATAAATACATGAACAGCAGGCTGATGGTGCAGTTGTTCTGGTTCTCTTTACACAGGCTTGGAGAATTAAAATTAAACTTCTTTTCTTCTCCAAATTTGAAATGGGGGATTATGAAGATACCCTGCTGCTACTCACACTGATATACTTGCTGGAGAAGGACATTTGGAAGCACCTACTTCAGGTAAATAGGAAGGTAGAGGCCTGAATGAACAAAGATCTGACACATTTTCAAGTTGAGGAAAAGACAGGGAGATGTTTCTTACCCCTGGATGGTGGAGGAGGTTGACGTTGTCCATGACAGCCAATCGTTCTTGTTATTGTGGCTTACAAGGATTGCATGAGTGTAGACATGGATTTGCACAGGGGGATTCACATAGTTAATATCAAACTGCACAAAGTGATTTTTTCCATCTCCAAGTTTCCCCGTCACAGTGAGTCCTTTAATACAAATTTGTCAGGTGATTCTTCTCTTAAGGTACAAGTGATCTTAATAATCCTGCTCCAGTTTTGTTACTGAAACGACTCCAGGGTCTCAAATCTAGTTTTGTGGGGCACTTCTGGCTTGCAGCTCCACATGGCCCAAGTCTGTGGTGGGGTCACTAGAGCTGGTCTAACCCCATGCTTCCACCTCCTGCACACAGGTGTCTCTGTTCCATAATCAGAGCAGGTGCCTGGTGCCTGGGCCATGGCTCCTCAAGGGCAGGACCACAGAAAATCTGCTGTGCATCCAGAGCATGCACCTTTCTGTGGGCACACAGGGACCATAAGGTTTAAGGTCTCTGCATTCTCCAAAGCCCCAAGGGCTGCATAGGAGAACACCCTAAGGACCAAGGAGGATGTGACACCAGGAGGAGAAGGGGATCCTCAGCCAGATCTGTGAGAAGTGCCCCCAGCTGTTGCACCATTAATATTGCCTAACAGAAAGGCAGAATTTACCACAGCCTCTCTGGTCAGTGCAAAGCAGCAAGTGTGAGATGGCTCTTCATGAGAGGGGGTTATTTCCAAAAATACCAACTGCACTCACAGACCCAGTGACTCTCCTTGCCTTGGCATTGGGTTAACATGGCTCACTCACCTTGCTCTGGATCTGACAGAAGGTGGACAGAGGTTTGTGCTCTCTGATCAATATTTAAGCAGATTCTTTCATTTTGTCTGGGTAATTGAAATAGAAGTTCTGCATGTTCATTGGCTGAAAAGAGAGAAGAAAAATATCAGCAACAATAAAAATCTAGCCTCTATGCTGAATAGGTACAGCAGAAATAATTTATAGATTTATGCCTAAAACAGTAGTTATAGCTTTTAAAGGATAGAATGATTAAAAACAAAGTAATATTGCTGAAAAACACATCCAGACACAGCACCTTGATATGAATGAAACCAACAGATTTTAAATATAGAGTTTACTGAGGACGAGGAGCCCTTAAAAATGCTCAGGCAGAAAATTTGTTGTACTGCATTTTTTATGTCCTTGAGCCAGAGAGGTCTTCTCATGGAATACAGGAATACTTTCTACTTAAATGGAAAGAACTAGCCAAGGTTTGCAAGAAGTGGTAAAAGCTTTTCACAGAGTTGATGCAGTAAGAAAAAGCACTGTTGCATGAAGAAGTGTACATTACAGTTACATTAGAAATTGAAATGGGTATAGGATATGTGTCACTTACCAATAGGTTGTGGTCTTTTGGCATCTCTGAACCTGGAAACTGAAACAGTCAAAATTAATAAGAAGAGTTTAATGAAACGTTTTTCTGTAAGTCAGCTGATGAACCAGGACAAATGCTGTACAGAAACCTTTTTACCAGAGCTCTTCACTGACAACTGTGGAGAGCTTTGCCTGAGAGGGGCTGTCCCAATGGGGGAAAAGAGCACAGGGAGGGGCCTGTGCTCAGCTGGAGCTGTAGGAGGGTTTAGAGCTGTGTGTTCAAGGGTCGCTGGGCTGTGCAGAATGCAGCACACCCAGCCCAGCCCCTCTGACCCCACTGTGAGCAGCTACCTGTTGAAAACATCTTCCTGTTGCTGACAGTTTGGAGCTCAGAGCGCCGTCTATCTGAAAGAAAAGGGTTTTCCCAATGTTTTGTTGCTTTGGGTTTATGCCTTGCACCTTCCTCCCAACACTTTGAAAGAGGGAATCTGTCCTGCTTGCTGTCCACTGACTTTTCTGGATACCTTAGGACTGGTGAATTATTTCGTTCTTAGATCCATTTCTTTCAGCTTACTTATACATGCTTTTCCATATCTTTCACATTTATTTTCAGGAGGTACATTTTTTTTTTTATATTCCTGAAAAGGGACCAAGATTGTTTTCAAAAGTTTATAGTTCGTTATAAAATATCTGTGGACTGAAACACATATAATAAAAACTAAATTGTACATCAAAGTGGGCATCTCCAATCCAAATGCATTTATATAAAATAAGGTTGATATGACCCTGCATATGAAATGAACTTTATAGAATTATTCTGAGGAGAAACAGAGGAGGGGTACTTACCAGCAGGTCGCCCACCCCTCAGTCCAATAGCAACTGGAGAGAAAAAAAAAAAGAGTATCTTTTTATTTTTTTTATTCATGACTGCATTACATCCCTTAGAGGAGTGGTTCTGCTATTGAACTCTCCAGCAGCACTTTGAAAGAGGCAACTTCTAGAAACAGGGCAGCATTGTGATTCTCTTGATACATTTCTGTGAAAGAACTAGAGCCAAACCAAGGTTCTCCACCTATAAAATTATTATTCAAATAAATGCAGTTTCCAGAGAGGAAAAACATACCTGAATCATCCTCCCAAGGCATTCTTGAGTGGAGTCTTTGGGAAGATGCTTCACACATGGTAGGAAGAAGCAGAAAGCATCATTAACACTATTGATTTGAAGAACTACTTTCCTCAAGAGCATAGGTAATTTTGACCTTTGAGACTTTCTGAATGAAAGATTTTCTCCCTTTGTCCCTGTTATCCACCTAAAACCTGCACAGACTGTAGCAAGCATTGCTTATAATTTACTTCCCACATTTTTTCAAATCTCAGATACTTCCCTCTACAGAACAACCACCATGAACTCTTTTGTTTGCTCTTGTTATTTTGTTTTTGTTTGTTTTTGTTTTGGTTTGATGTTTTTTTTTGTTTTGTTTTGTTTTGTTAGAGACTATGAAAATATGCTACTGGAAAAGAAGAAAGCATTTACCTCCTGCTGGAATAGTGCTGGGCTTCTCATTGTCTGTGAAGAGGAAGAGGGACAGATGAGTGTCATACAGTAAACACTGAATTACTTTACCCATGTGAACCAACAAACTGGGGCAAGGGCTTCAGCTGATGATGTTTTTAGGGCTAAAGGATGAGTATGTAAAGCACTTGCAAAACTCTGACTGAGGCCATTCTTTCCCCCCTGCATTCATAGTAACAGCTATTAGACTACCTTTAGTGAATATTTAAACAAACTGTTTTCCATTTCAACTGTAGTGACTGTCATTTCAGGGGGGCTGTTTTTACCAGCCTCGGTGGGTTTGTTTGCCAGCTCCTCCTGCTGCTGGGGTTTGGTGACCACCATGGAAGTGAGCGGTGTGACAAAGCTGTACTGCAGGGACAGATCCAAGGCTTGGGCCTCCAGGGCCTTCTGGTCCTCTTCTTGAGCTGAAATACTAAAGTCTGTGTTAATGATGTAGCAGAAATGTGTAGAGACTATGAACAAACTGTCTTCAGATTCCTTTATGTATTAGCTGTGTCTCCATAGATATTTATTACTGTAGGGTCAGTAGTCTTATGGGGATAACTCAGCTCTTCATGTGCCTGAAATGATGGAAATGCTTCATTCTTTGCAACACTGGAGCCTATGTATGGTTTAAATACATGGAAGTAATAGATACATGGTCTATGAAGTATCTTATGGACATCCATATTGTTCTATTCCCTAACTATTACCATTTCTTTATCTGCAGACAATATTTCAGGGTGTACAAGAACAGCTCAACACAGCCCATACAATTGAAATATATTTCATAGTAATTTCATGTAGAATGTGTTACATTATGTGCTCATATATATATGAAATTGAATGTTGTAGTGCTACCATAAACTGAAAGGAACTTCATGTTCATCATACAGTAATGTAGTATTCTCCCAGTATCTTATGTTTATGGTACCATCTGGAAAAATATTTCTGTTTCTTTGTATTTTCTGATCATATAATTTGTGAATAAGGAATTTGTGTTTTGAGAAGTTAGAAGTTTGTTATGTGAGGCATTAAAATCTCTTACGCTTTTTCCAGAAGCTGCTGAATGGTCAAGTAAGCCCACAGTCTCTCTATGAAATTCCCAAAGATGTATCTTTGATTTTGGAATACTTGCTCCTTCTCTTTGACATTTGCTTCTTCCTTGAGAGTCAAGTTACTTGTGTGCTGAAGTGGGAGAAAACTGACCATCAAAAGAACAGCTCCATAAACTTCAGCTCTATAAACTTCATTTATAGTCACATTATGATTAATATCTTTCAGTACCAGCTGTCCTTCAATTTTGTTCTTTCCCATTGGAAAATGCATCCCCAAAGTATCTAAAAAGCATGTATTTTAGATCTGTATTTCTGCACTTGAAACAATGATGAAAAAAGGAGTTAATTAAATTCTGTTTCAGCATTTTTGAGATGAATAATTGAGATTTTCTACTTCATTGTAACAATAGAAACCTAAAAGTGCTTAAAAGGCTAAAATACTTGAATTTTGTTAAATAATTAGCAAAACTGAATTAAAATTTCTGTTTACTTATTTGTGGATATTCTTCAAGGTTTTTCTTTTGTGGCAAATTCAAGAGAGAGTAATTTTAACAAATTATCTGAGAGATCAAACAATGAGAAAACAGCTGAGAGCCCAAATGTATTAAACATATACTGAACACAAAACACTTCTTGAAACCTCCTATTGTGCCACAAAAGACAGAAGGGAGAGATGTGTTTCACAATTAATAAACTAAACACTTACTGACTGAGCTTTAATTTCCACTGGCAAAAGATCCAGCTCATTGCTAATTTTTCCAGACACTATAATTTCAGATCCTTCAAAAAACAGCTTGAAATTGTTCTTGGTTAATCCTTCAATGGAATTTTCTGGATACTGCATTTCAATTTGCATTAATATTGGGGTAGCCACTTCTTGATAAAAGCCCTAAAGAAGAGCAGTAAGACAGAGAACACACACAAATGACAGGTAAATTGTGCAAAGCAATATGTTGAATGTCTAAAGCCCCCTTAAAAAGCTTTTTCTTTAGCAGTGCAAGACTACTGCAAATTCAGAAATTGTCCGCTTCCCCTGGACAATTTCTCTTTTTACAGTAGAGAAATGTGTGAGTTTTCCAATTTGTCTTAATGTGGCTGATTTGAAAACTTTGAGTCATGGATAACATGGAGGGTACAAACCCTCAGATACCCCAAAATTGCCTTTCTCCCTCGGCTAAAGTAACAGGTAAACTCAACCCCAACATTTCATCTCAGAAAATCTGTGATTTTGCTGCTAGAACTGGATATAAGCTGAGGCTGATGCATGGCTTTCCTGGCACATTCCTTACTCCTGACCTGGAGCTGCAGGGCTGCATCAGCATTTTCATAGATACGCCGTGCTATTCCCCCATTGCTCAGGGCCATTTTCTCCAGGAATTTATAACTGACATCAAACCCAAAGCCAAGGCAGAAAAGAGCATATTTCCCATTGATTGCTTTCTGAACGTTTTCTTGAATTACTTCCACATTTCTCTCACCTGTAAATGAAACAAAAACACCATTGTGGGTTTGGGCCTTTTGAAGTGCAAAAAGACTGCAGCAGGTTAATGGAAAATACTGTCTGAAGTTTTTTAAAATAATTCATAATAGAATACTAAAAAAATAGGGGATAGAATGCTAGTAATCAAATTGGAAATGAAAGCACAACTCTGTATGTGGAATGCCAGAACATGATTCTCCCCCCTTAATGACTTTTATTAGGTTCTTCTGATGTTGTCATGGCCAAGTGCAAAATATTTTATAGGATTACAGGGCCAGAGGACAATTTTAGTACAGAAGGGACACACACTACAAGTTAACAACATGAGGGATGGATACACTTCATCAAGCATTCAAAAGACAGGTAGTATCCATAAAAATTATGTGTGTCAATTGAGAGAAGAATGGATTGGTTAATGGAGCAATTCCAACAAACTGCCAATGAACTCGGCCATGCTTCTCTCCCAGCCCCTTTGTGTGACAGAGGAAAAGATTTTCACACCATCACCTTACTCCATTTGAAGAGCTGCTGATGGCCATGTACTGAGAGCTTTTCCATCAGCATTTCCAGGCAGAAGCTGTCACTGCCTGTAGCAATACCATGGGAGCAGCTCAGATTTTTCCTTTTTAGCTGCTTTGCTAAGGAAGGCAGTGTAGGCAATAATGCCTGACACTCCACCCTGGACTCATTTCTAACTGCTGGATGTGGGGAGCACTGGAGACTCACTGTGGCTATGCTGGGGAGGCAGCACTGTGAGCTGAATTTTACTAAAAAACCCAAACAAAATCAAGAAACCCCAAAGCAGAATGGCTCACACAATCTAAAAGGGAGAATGATCTTATTATAGGCTTACAGATGAAGTACTATTGCTGATCTTGGGGTGATGCTGGTGCCACACAAAGCTAAGACAAACCCCCATTCAAGACAAGGGAGTTTGTGCCATTGCTCTGAGAGTTGCTTATTTCACCTGATATTTCAATCTCAATCCTTTGGTTTGTGCTGTCACAGCTGATCACTAATTAAGACATAGCAAAGAATGCAGAATAAAAAGCATCTTGAAAATATCTTAAGTTTGGGGCACAGAGGGTGAAGAAGCACAAGCAATATCTCTCAAATAGGACTGTACACAGTATCTGCAAAATGTCTGTATTTTGTCTCTAGGTATTTTACTTTTCTGTTTCAGCTGTGCCTGGAGTATCTCCAATTCCCTTGAGTTTATAAACTGGGAAGCCAATGGTATGAGCGAAACAATTCCCAGCTAAAGGATGTGCAATCACAGGCAGGCAGGCTGTGCCATCACTCCCTACAGACCTCAGCAGAACCCTCTCATAATCCCGCTCTCCAGATCCAGCAGTAGCTCGGCCTGTGTATTCCAAAGCTCTTCTAAAACACAGGCTAGGTCTGTCAATATTGGGATGCAAATGTACCAGATAAAAACCCCAGAGGAGGGAGGATCAGGCGTGGCATTCACTCACCAGAAGTGGGCTGGCCATCTGTCAGCAAAATAATCATGGAGACGCTGTGCTCTGGCAGCCCCTCGTGTTTGTCCAGCATGCCCACGGCAGCCAGCAGGGCACCACTGATGTCTGTGCCTGCAAAGAGAGAGCAGGCATTGCTCACCTCAACAGCACAATCACCTGCAGGGATTGCTGCCCTTCATCCGCCCAGGCCCAGCAGACTTCTCTGCAGGAACTAATCCTTCTGAGAGAGGAGGATTTAGGGACTTAGCCTACTGGACTTAATTACTGGGTGTTATATTGCTACAGCAGTGCTGGAGTATTCTCTTGGGAGGATTTTCCACACATATGTCATGGGAAATACAAACATGTCTAGAGCCATTAAAAAATGCTTAAGTAAACATACTGTCATCTGTTAACCTATATAAAAGTTTCCCTGCCTTCTATAAGAAATCAGAGAAAAGAGCTGAGCACGGGTGGATTTATTGGTGTTAGCACCTAGAGTAAGGAAACTTCTGCTCATACTGACAGTGTAACATTAAAGGGAGACAGAGCCCTTGAGCTGTGCTTAAAACTAAATAATAACACCAAGCACACTGACTGCTGCAGCAACTGAAATGCCATGTCTGTTTGGCCTATTTTATTTATGTGGCATGGCTTACAAGGGAGTATGACTTTGGATGTGTTTCTTTTTTTTCTTTTTTTTTTTTTTTTACAAGGGGACACTTGATATAAATAGGAAAAAAAGGTCAGTAAATTGCTATCAAATGTTGAGTAAGTTGCCATTTTTCTGTAGAAAAAGTGTGCTACCAAGGAATCTTCTAATTGTCTCTGTGATAAAAACTGGAAACAAAACTTTGTGGCTTTGGTTCATAGATGTGCTGTAAGCATCTCTCATGTACTATATAACTATATCTATCTCATAATGTAGTCACCAGTCTGACCACGCACAGGCTTGCTTTCCCACTCATCACTTATAAGTCTCAAAAACTGACCTGCTTTGTAAGCACTGGTGGTAGCTCTGGGGCACTATGTAACTAATAAAAATAATTCTTTTCTAAGCAATTCATTCCACTGGGTTCATATTTGTGGCTACGAGCACGTGTACCTCCCCTGGCAGCGAGAGTCTGCACCAGGGCTGCAGCACTGGCCACGTTGTCCTCGGTGGCTGGCAGCAAAGAGCTCTTCCACTCCACCACTTTGTGGTTGAAGGTGATAAAGCTGAAATGATCTTCTTGGCGGAGGTCCTGCAAAATCTTCAACAGGGCATCCCTTGTCTGTTCCAAGGAGAAAACAATGATTTTGATTATTTCCACTTCGTTGCCAGAACTGGGATTGAAATTACAGTGTAATAAGGGAGTTCTCTACAGCTCTGTTCCAGATGCAGCCCTATGCCTTCATTAAGCCCGAATGGAATGTTTTAGGTTGAGACCACCAGAAATAGACAATTCACTTAACCTACAGACACAAAATCCAACCTGTGAGGGCTGTAGGAGGCTTGTCTGCTCTCAAACAGAGCTACATACACAGTCATCAATAAACATAAAACAGACAACAGATAAATTAACTCTCTAATCTTCATTAAAGAAAAATACAAACACAAGAAGTTCTGCAAAAAAGCAGTAAGTTCTCTCTGCCTCAATGTTTAATATCCATGAAAATAATTGTGTCCGACAAGAGTTACTCCTTAATAACTTCAATCTATCCATATGTATTTTCAAGCACTTCTATGAGTCTGAACCTTTTGCTGTGTACAAATCCAGTGTGTGCTTCCAATGAAAAATTCCCAGCTGCTTCCTCAGAAGGCTGGGGGGTGTGTGCCTGCTGCTAACAGAGGTCATGCTTTGAGGGAAGTTACCTGTTCAATTTTTCTGCCTGTCATGGAGCCACTTCGGTCTATAACAAAGATGACATTTTTGGGAAACACTGGCATTTCTTGGGGTGCAAAGTAATGGACAAAATACCCATTGACAATCTGAAATACAGAATGTGAAATCACCCATAAAAGTACATCTGAAGAAAGAAAGAATAAATCTTAACATTCTGGCACAGCAAGAAGTGGGAAGCATGCTCAGCATTCTGCTCTCTCGATAAGCCCAAATAAAAGAATTTAAATTTAAAAAGTAAAATGTATTTCCTAGCTGGAAGCAAGATTGTCTGTAGAGAGAAAATTACCAGAGAGCAGCATGCATGCATACATATACATTAGACATCTCAGTGCCATAAGTATGATATATGCATATTATCACTGTGTATCACATTACCTCTTTATCATTACCTGTGAGTACATCTCTGCTGAATGACTGTGGCTGCCACCTTTTAGCACACCCATGTATACTTCATTAGTGAAATGATATGGAAAATACTCTATTTTATTCCCTAGAATAGGCATCGGTTCATAAATATTTGTTAAGTTCCTGCTGTATTTAGTTATTACCTCAGTTATCACAAAAACCACAGAGACCAAGCATCATTTGAAGTTATATAAATCACATAACTCTAAACTTCATTTACAGGAAGCCACAAATACACTTTTAGAGGTGACAAAATAATAATTAAAAAAGACCGTAAAAAAAAATCTATGAAATACCAATACAGATTGGGCATTTGAATAAAATTTGAAAGACTGATTTTTTTTTTTCCGTAGCGATCTTTTTTCAATATACCTGGATGTCTCTGGGGATTACCAAGCATCACCCTCAGTTCTTGCTGACCCTGGATTAATGGGAAGAGCCTTTTCTGTCATTCTTGGTGTTTCAAAGCAAATGTTGCTGCTTTGCTGATTGCACTTCACATTCATACTTATCTGTGATCTAAAAGCATTTTCATTTATATGTTTTTTACCTGTATATCACCTGCAGTGGCTTCTCGCTTAACATCATAACGCACAACAAAATCACCATTGAGAAGAGTTTCATCAAGTTCAGAATTTTTCTTCTGTTGGTCTAGAGTTGGCTTAAATAAAATATGAGCCTGCAAAGCAATCAGAAGGAAATATCTAAAGCAATATAACTTAGAGCTGCCACTGGCAGTAACCTCTGTCAGCTGCTGCTTTACCTTGGTTTCATTCTGCTCTTTGGTGAGTGCCTCAGATAACTCGTTTGTCATGAATGTGCTGTCTGTCTCCAAGAAGTGAATGCCCTGGGGCTCAAAGATGTGCACATCGATCTGGCAGCAAAGAAGAAGTGAACATCAGCGTCTCAGAGGGAACATGGCTGTGCTAAAACCCACAGCACTACTCCCTGCCCAGCCCTCCCCAGGACAGCTCACCTGGAAGTGCTTAACGAGCTGCTTGGGCCGGACCTTGATGAGCAGCTCATACTTCCCCAGCTGCCGCTTCAGCAGCTCCTCGTAGGTCAGCTCAAAAGTGACTTTGCTGGCAGCCGCGATGCTGACGGACACGTGGAACTGCTCCAGCTTTCTGTCTGTAATTCTGGGGGAAAAGAGCAGTGATTTACCTCCTTGTGGTGGCTGGAGTTTGTGAAGTGTGCAAAATAATTTGCACACTTTTATTGTGACCCCTCCAAGGGGCCACATGGGATAAATAAAAAAAAAAGAGTAGCAGTAAATATTTTTCATCATAGAGAGGATTTTTTACATTGCAGGTGCTATTATGCACATCACATATTGTACATTACATTAATGTGTCATGGGTGCAAGATGAGAAATGGAGCAGAAACCCTTGGATGCCTCAGAGTCAATACCTGTGAAGTACAGATTAAATATACCCTGAAGCTCTGATATCTGTTCAAATGCCAGGGTCCTCTGTGCTTGCAAGGAGGCAGACTCAGCACTGAGCATCATCCCAGTGTGTCAAGGTGCTCTTGAATGACAGCAACCAAGGCTGGATGGAACTCTGAGCAACCTGAAAGGTGTCCTTGCCCATGGCAGGGGGCTTGGAACTAGATGATCTTTAAGGACCTTTGACCCTGAGATTAGCTCAATTGGTCAGAACATGGTGCTAGCAACACCGTGGCTGTCAGTTCAATCCCTCTGTGGACCATTCACTAAAGAATTGGACTTTGTGACCCTTGTAGATCCCTTTCAAGAACATTCCATGATCTGTGATTCAGTGATTCTATGACAGCAAGTCCTAAGGCACCACTAAACAGGGATGGGTATGCTTCCTACTGGAGCCCATTGCAGGCCCACCTATACATCACACATATGTGAATTTATATGTTAAAAAAATATATATATGTATATATATACACACACACAAAGATACACTGTCCCTTCCACCAAGAACCCAAGATTGGTTTTCACTGATTTGACCCCACTGGGATGTGGCTGTCTCCAGGACTTAATCTGCCCCCAGCCAAACAGGAAGCCAAGGAGAGGTGTTGGAGCAGCCTTACTCAGAATAGCAACATACTTAACGAGGCCAGCGCTCTGTCCTTGTGAGACTGCCGAGTCATACTTGTTTTGAGCAGCAGCTTTCTCCTTTATTATTCCTGGGTATACTTCACCATCGATGGACCTGTTTGGTTTCCATGAAAATTAATTCATATTAGAAGCAATGCACTAGGGAAAGAAACTCAACAGAAGTTTTTTGTGGCTCTCTGGGCATGAGCAAGGGATGCTGGCTCCCAAATCCCTCCCCACCCAGGAGGATGCCAGGAGCCACCACCACAACACAACCCTTGTCCTTGCAGAGTCTTGAGGAGGCTGGAGCAGGAGAAACACCACCACTGAGCACATCTATCACCCCCCCTATGCAGCAGACAGCCTGGCCCTGGGCACCTCTTTTCTATTTGGCTGCTTACTACTTAGCCCCACAGAGTATTTTGCAGAGGACCCTCTTTGTGCTCCTTCTTTGAGCAGAAAATGAACCCCGCCCAGAGCTGCCTCCTTTACACTGCAGGTGAGGACTGGTCCTACATGGAGAAGTTGGTGATGAAGGCTGTCTTGGGTAACTCCACTTCAAAGGTGGCCTCTCGGGACTCATTGGCTCGGTTGACAATTCTGCTGGTGATGACTGTGTGAGCAAATCGTGATGTGACCTTGCAGTCCACGTGGAGGCTGTATATTTGAACAGCAGGCTGGAAAAAATAAACAGACTGAGACAGAAACACGCAGGTTTTGCTCTCAGGCCATCCTTACCTGGATGATGCTGTTGGAAAAGTCTGATGAAGAAATGAACTGTTAGAAAGCTGGCTGGAACTGGGGAGGGGATTGCCCTGAACCAATCTGCTTATTCCCTTCTCTGCAGCCACAGCCACTGTCCCATGCAAAACCTGCAGCTACATCTGCATTTTGCTGTTCCACAGAAGCTTCTGTTGAACCTTTTTCTCTCCTTGGGGTACAGTGAAGCTGCTGCTGCATCACCCCAGTGCATTGCCCAAGATTTTCCTCAGGGAGATCAGAAGCCTCTTTAAGCCTGACCCAGGGAAGGTCCCTGTTTTTTGTGCAACTGTTTATTTGCTCTCCCAGCTGTTGACTTTGCTTCCTGTTTTCCTTGGTATCTTGTGTACCACAGGATGTTTAGCAGCCTTGAAACCTCACATGGCCCTCCCAACCCCTCACTGGTTACACAAGCAGAGATCCCCTTTGAGCACTCATGTTTCTCCTGGTCTGGTTCTTCCAGGGCCCCTGATGGTCAAAGGAGGAAGGCACCATTCTAGAGCTGCCTGAAGCACCCCAGAGGGTGGCTGGACTGAGAACTGCCAGGAGCACTTGCCTACATGGACACCTCCTTTTGCACTTGGGATGTTTCTCTAAAGGTCCTACCCATGTTCCAGCAGTGGCACTAAGAAAGGCTGATCTGGACATTACCAGCCTCACAACAGTCCAATAGCTGATTAAAATACAAAACTTCAGCAACAGAGAATATCATTGCACTTCTGTTTTTACTTTTCCAACCTCCAAGTCTTTTGAATGGCTAATTGATCTTTAGCTATTTTGATAATTAATTTCCTGTACTTTTCTTGCCAATTAATAGCATGCAGTGGCTTCTTCTCCGTTAGGACACTGGCTGAAATTCAGAACTTGGGTGCCCTGCCATACTCAAACCTGCCCATGGCACATTCAGGGTGAGGTTTTCCATAAGGAACACCAAGCCCCAAGCTGTGGTTTGTCCTGTGCAAAATTTACCCAGTGCAGAATCTACTCCACTGCCACGTGCCCGAGGGATGCTGCAGGGAGCAGGACCTGCATCTCCTGCACTGGTCCAGCCCCAGCAGCATTTTAGGCTGTGGGCAGCACAAACCAGGGGTCGGCAGGATGCAGCACGGGGAGGAGCTTTGCTGTGCAGAGAGGTAAAAGAAGCAGAGAGGACCAGCCCCAGGCACGTGCCCAGAGGCAGAGGCACTGTGGGCCCATACACCCACAGTGGCCCGTACACCCACTCTCCATGGCTCCCTGCAGAGCTCTCGGCTGCCCCTGAAGCGGCCACCAGGCCTGGCCCTGCCCCCAACACCTGCCTGCATTTCAGTTCCACTTCACTCTTTTCTGAATAGGCACAATGGACAGAGAAATCCTCTGACTTAAACCTTCCTCTTCCTCTCTAATACTGATGTTTTTACAATGCCACCAGTCACCACTGTGATGGTACAAAAGAGAGTTTGCTCCTCCAGACGTGCAAATAACTTTCTACTTCCCTCTTTTCCATTCCATATTTATTATTAAACACTTCTCAGAAACCTCCTGGCACTGCATAGTGCTTGTTTGGTCCTGTGTCAAGATCCAAACATCATCCAGTAGCCAAAGCACAGTTACTGATCTCCCAAATTTGATATCTTACATTCCAAAGGAAGAGAATCATCAAACACATCTGCAAGTGCCTCCTGTTACATTTGTACTATAACAGCCCAAACAAACAACCAAAGTTACCTTAAAAGGACCCAAAGCTCTAAAATCTCAACACAATTCACCCAAGTCTCCCTGGGAGGTGGTTACCAGAGGAGTTACCTGCACTACCTGGCCAGTTACCACGATATGACCACATCAGCAAATGAGATATTGATAATAAAAATAGAGAAAATACCTTCTGATCATTAGTTTCTGCTAATACTATGAATGAGGAAAAGACCATCAATGCAAGCAATGTCCTCTGCTCCATTTTGGAAAAAACCAAAATTTCAAATGAAATCTCTATTTATCTTAATCAGTTAATGAGTAACATGTACTGCGGATATCATGTAGGCTTTGAAGAGACACAGAAATGTAATATTTACCCATTAAACACAGGTAAAACTTGGACTTGGTTAATGCTTATTTTTCCAACAGATCTTTGCTCTTAAACATTAGAATTTTAATGTTTCCTAACACATAAAATTAGGAAATTTCTATACTTTTTTTAAAAATTAGATTTCATTGTACCACATGAAATCCCTCGGGCAGATGACTTGGTCTCTACCATATTCCACAGTAATAATTTGAAAGGGCACATCCTTTAACATTATCACAAGCACTTCAGAGACTTGGAGATTGCCAGGACAGGCAGCATTCACATGAGATATTGCAGTTAATGGCTTTCTCAACCTTTGTGCCTCCCTGCCCAACTGGCCATGATCCTTGGTAGGTAATGCCATACATTGTCATAAATTAACACAAAGATCCTGTGGAAATAAAAGCATCTGTGTTTTCTTCATGCCTGTTTTACAAAGTTTCCCTGTGGAGAGCAAGCTTCCAGTGGCCTTGGAGTTGCAAGGAGACACTAAAGCAGAGCTCAATAATTTATTACTTACCAGACATCTACAAGTTCACTACAAAGAATGTGCTAAGCACAGCCTGGTCTTACAAGCCTTGTGCTTTAAGTAACTTTTTAAAAAAATAAACTTTACTCCTCTCAGGCAGACTGTTTATACTAATTGCAAATACTGTATCCTTTATAGCAGGACATGTAAATATATATATTTTAAAAGACAAAAAATTAAACTGCAATACATTCGATTAACTTGTACAACTCATGTAATGCTTTAATCCCTTAAAATACACAGGATTAGACACTTAGCGGCCTAAGAGCTGCGAGTGCCAAAGCTTTAATTAAGTGGATCTGTCATCAGTTTTCTAATGCCCATGTGTAAAATCACACGGATGTTAAAGAGCTGCTTTTGCTGCACAGATTTAGGCTGCAGCATCAGCTCTGCCCCTCACATTTTTTAGATGAGGTCCACATTAAAAGACAGGAAGACCAAAACCAATGCCCAGTCCTTATTGTCACACTTGGAAGCAGCACAAGTAAATGAACATGACAACATCCTGGAAATAGAGCTGTTTGCCAAATCCCACTTCTCTGGCAGATACCTTACTTGGTATCTTCCCTGTAGAATCCATGTGGGACACAGAGGTTTCTGTGCTTTATTAAATCAGCACCAACATATCCAAAGCAGAGTTTGAAATACAGCACCCCCCCTGTCCTGCTAACCCGCCTGCAGGTCAGGCCCTTGTACTGCAATAAGGAAAGTGACAACATTTTGCCCTACTTGCCCCTTGCCACCATTTCTATAACTATTGAACAACCTCCTTCCACCTTCTCCACACAGGTTAATTAAGGAGGGTTTGTTGAACCCAATGCAAAGGCAGCTCCAGTATAATCAGGGCAGGAATTTTTTCACCGTGACTTTTTTCATGCTCTGGAAGGATCTTGGGAAAGGCTCTGCCACAGGTACATACCTGTGAGGAGCCTGTGCTCTATGGAGAAATTGTGCCCACTAAAGTGAGGAGGTGGGGTCTTGGTTGCAAATAATAATCTTTTAAAGTGAAAAAAGCAGGGCAAAGCAATGCACCAGCAATATCTTTAAAGAAGCTTTCCCCTTAAAGCCAAAGGATTTCCTGCTGCCTTAAGTGAGCTCCTCTCCAGTCTCTCTGGGATGGGCATTGTCTCATTTTATCTGTGTTTGGGACACAAAAGCCAAATATGATGCATTTCATGGTGCACAGAGAACTTTGGCATCACTTTTACCTCTTAATCATGTCTAGTCTGTGTAAAATAAAAGTAGTTTCTTTAACAAATGTGGCATCTTACTTACTATCTCCAGACATGCTGCAGAGACTCAGGGTGTGTGGGAAGCATGGCAGGGGCCCACAGAGGTTCCTCTGTGTTTTAGCACAAATATCCAGCTGAGAGGAAACACTCTGGGGTTTGGGAGAAAACAGGTTTGGTGTTTAATGCAGCAAATTAAGAAGCAAACAGCATTTAAAAAAACCAGCTTCCCCTCAGAGTGTGCTGGTGTTGTACAGAGACACTCGCTGGGTTCTCATCTCCATGGTAAGGCAGGACATGGCGGCTGGGTCTGGCACCCCACTTCTCATTCGATCCAGTGGGACAGGAGGCAAAAGCCACTGGGAATGAGCTGAAATCCCTCCCTCGGTGCTGGGACACTGTGAGAGCTGGGCCTCTGCCCTCACAGCTGAGCTGCATGAAGGGAAATCATGGCACAGCTGCCCGGAAGGGTGTGAGGGGAGAGATATGGGGGAGAACTGTGAGGGGAGAGCCATGAGTGGGAAACCGTGAGGGGAACTGTGAGGGGAGAGCTGGGAGGTGTAAGCCGTGAGTGGCAAACCGTGAGCGGCAAACCGTGAGCAGGAACGGTGAGGAAAGAGCTGTGAGGGGAAGCCATGAGGGAAGAGCTGTGAGTGGGAAACCGTGAGGGAAGAGCCGTGAGTGGGAACTGTGAGGGGAGAGCTGTGAGTGGGAAACCGTGAGGGGAGAGCCGTGAGTGGGAACTGTGAGGGGAGCGCTGTGAGTGGGAACTGTGAGGGGAGCGCCGTGAGTGGGAACTGTGAGGGGAGCGCCGTGAGGGGAGCGCCGTGAGGGGAGCGCCACCACCCTGTGCCACGCCACCACCCTGAGGGCCCTCGCCAAGGTGCTGCTGTAGGCAACACAGATCTGGGTGAAGTCTCCAGGTTTCTGTGCTGCCCTTTTGATCAGCTCCCCCTCAGATCCCCTGGTGTGAAGAAATTACACTGATACTGTGTCATCAGGGTACTTTTTACTTGCATTTGACAGACAAAATAATCGCCTGTAGTGCCAAAGTGCCCACGGAATTAATCTGAGCTCCAAGTGAAATGAGTCACCACAGTGTGCCAAGCTGAGTCCAACAACCTTTTTTATTAAACAATTATAGCAAACATTATCCAATATATAGAAAGAAGGCATGTAATAAAAATGAACACGGACGTTTTACTCTTTGATATGAGTATATTCCCTACTTAAGGACTTACAGTGGAAATTAGCTACTTGAGTCTACAGTGACTTTAGTGCAAGGAACAGAAAGTTTGAAAAATGTTACAACAATCATTTTGGTGAGTCATGTCCAGCTCCACTGTCAGCCAAAGACGCTCTTGGCTGGTTCATCCTTTGGTTTTTCAAAGACTGTTTCACCTCCTGTCCGAGCCCCGCTGAATATGGAAGGTGCTGCGGAACCCATTTGTTCTTAGAAAAGAAAACCAGGAGAGACAATCAGTGAAATACCACCCAAATTCAGGGAGTCAAATTAGTGCTGCTGAAATACATATATACATTTGATAAATACTTCACTTGTCCACCAGATGAGGAACCCTTTCACTTAAAAAGGGCAATCAAGTCAATGTTTTACTCTACTTAATTGCTTCCAATCAAGAAGACTTACCACATTGCCTCATCACTTGGTAGGTTTTAGATTTAATTTCCTGGTTTTTGGCAAGGTTTCCTCTGGCTCCTTTGAGGTCTTCCTCCTTCACTGGAGGACGCTTCTTTTTCACAGGGGCTGGCTAAGAAACAGACCTACACATGAGTATTTTGTGTACAAAGCACAGGGAACAAAGCTACCTCCACCCAAAGACTGCAACATACAGAGTTGCTACACAATATTTCACCTATTTCAGTTCTGAAGTTACATACTCAACTACTTCAGATCTTCCCATAATCACAATTTCACTGCCCTTCCCAAAATCTGCTACATTCTTACTGCTCTGAAATTGTCTTTTTATTGTACAGCCTTTGAAAGAGCAATGGACTGCTTAATTAAAAAAAAAAAAAAAGAAAGTTCTTAGATTTTCTCTGTCCAGCCCTGCCTGCTTATTCTGCAAGTACTGATTGGTAATTCAAGAACCTGTTCAATATTTGGAAAGGAAAAATCACTTTATTACAAAATTGGGCTTGTGCCTCAGTTAACTGACTACTTCTTTGGGAAACCAGTCAGATTCCAAATCTGGACTTGTCTTAAGTTCAAATAAACACTTGACCCATAGTTGATCATCTTAAATTTAAGGAACAAAAGGATCTGAGCACTCAACAGGGCTCTGTACTGAACACATCTGAAGCACTGGACTTGGAACCCAAAGAAGAAGGAAACCTAATACAGAAACAGATGCATCATCAGGTGGTGCACTGCTAAAGCCAAGTACTAATCTGTTCACAGTTTATTCCACTACAAGGAAATAGGGACAACATTACTTCATCAGCCTACTTTAAATTAGGACTGCCCAGTCAGACACAACCCCACTCTGCAGCAGCCAACACCATAACCATTCCTCCATCAATTTATTACTTCATGGATGGATTTTCAATGTCCCACCAGGCAGCCCTCATGGCAAGATTCAGGGGCACAGGGATATGACTGAGAGGAACAGAAGACCCCCACACTCCAACTCTAATAGATTTGCACACTGAAAGATCAACAACAAACTTCTCTGACCATCACTACATACACAGAGCTTCTGATATTTGGGTTCTGGCAGTGGTGGAGCCTCTCAGGCACTGCCTGTGAGGCTAAAAGCAGTTGTGGAGGGAAACAAATCCCTCAAGGCCTACAGATGGCTGGAGCAGCGAGTCCCAGGGAGCTCGCAGGGACAGCGCCTGCATGACTGGCTCCTGGACGGGTGGCCTGGCTCCACTGGAGCCTTCAGCACGATTGCTGCCTGCTGCAAATTCCTGGGAACGCTCAGAATAGCTCACTGTCAATGCCACTTGCATGTGTTGTGGGAAACAAAACATTTACAAGATCTCTGGGGAAAAAACTCATGAGTAGCCAAAGCAAGCGAGGGGAAAGGGCAGCAGCAAACCCTTCAAAATTCACAACACCTTGTGCATGGTTGTTCAGCTGGTGAGCCAAACATCCCCACAGCCAGGAGTCACCTGTCCTTCTGGAATGACAACTGGCACATGATGGGAACAGTCCCTCATGCCCATGGCCCACTCCACAGGCAGCCAACCCAGGAAGGGAAAAAGCCTCTTGCTTTAAGAGCAATGTGAAATCCACAAGGATCCTTCACCCATTATTGGTAACGGACAGTAAATCTGAGGCTTCTACCCACCGGGACAAGGGAATTCCTGGGGACAGGGTGAGGAAAGGTGGCTCTTGGCATACACAAAGATAGAGCCTGAGCAGAGCTCTTGAATGTCACCCAGTTATTTTAAAATAAACCGTCTCACGCTTTGATCGCAGAGGATTTTCCAGCGGGACAGTTGCTGCGGATTAGCCGGCCCCAGCTGAAGAGCAAAGCTGGTGCACAGAGAGGTTATGGTGAGCCCTGGCCAGCAGCTGCCACTGTCACAGCCCCACCACTGCTAACTGCTGCCAGAATTTCTGAGCAGGGGCTGCCAGGAGCCATTCCTGGCATGGGAGTGCAGCCTGTGCTTTACCTCCTCCTGTCACAAGACAGAAAGTGCTACTTTACAAGACATTCAACTGGATTTTAAGTACGATTTTCTGTGGAGTAAAGAAAATCAGCTGAACTGAGTTACTCTCTATGGCTGAAGAACTGTGCTCTCTTACTTTCTCTGTGTTCCTACTCTCCATCACACTACTCCTGTAAAACTCTCATGCAGAGGAGAGCTCTGCCAGGCACATGCAGCTTGTGATGCAAATGTAACATTTACCTGAACCTCACCATTTCTGAGTTCATTTCAAGAGCACTTTGAAAAACTGATTACTGGGGCATGCATTAAGGACAAACCATTAGTTATAAAATGAGTATAAAAGTACTGATTTTATACAAAATTTCAGTCTCAAATATCTTATCCTAACAGTTAGAATTTTCAGTCACACTCTTTTCTCCTGCATGTGAATGCCCTAGGCTTTACACAGTGACATTTCAGCACAGCCACCTCTTTGCATAACAGAATTTCAGAATCACTGTCTGAGAAATTGTGTTAGAAAGGCAGAGATTCCTCCATCTGTGAAACATCCCAACACAGAGCAGGGGGAAGGATTTTTCCCTTTCTACACAAATAAAAATATTTAAGGTAAACCAGAACATTTTAAAGCTAAATTAATTAACCATGTAGAGAGCAGCTGCTTTCCTTCTTCACCAAATAACCCATCCTAAGTATGCATTTGTTAAAATATTTTAATCACACAAGTCACAGAGTAGAAAAGCTGAATTCACTGGTTAACGAGAGGAACTCTTAATAAGCTTTTCCAAGCGCAGCATCCAAACCAGCAGCAGGTTTGCCAGGCGCTGCTCCGAGGGCTGGCAGCGCACAGATGTCCCCGTACCTGTGACATAACTGCGGTGCTCCCTCGCTGAAATCCCTCCCAGGTCGTTCCCGACTTTGATTAAATCCAGCCCGTGAGCTCTGCGAGCGCCTGTTGTTTTCCTGGACTTATATAGAGCATGCGAGTGAAGTCACGGGCTGGCTCCTGTTCCCGCAGCAGCGGCGGGATGATTCAGGTCGGGCAGGCTGTTGTTGTCCGAGGTTTATTCCTGGCGATGACTCGGGCGTGCAGCATTCACCGGGCTGGGCTGACGGGGGCAGCTGCGGCAGCGGGGAAGCCGGGTCCCGGCAAAGAACGCTTCCCGGGGAGTCCACTGGGGCTCTATTTATAGCTTTAAAAGGCAATATGTGTTATGGACACAAAATTGACTCTGAACCCTCTTCGGGGAGGGAGGGATAAAAAAGAGTGGGCATTGCTTTCCCAGCAAAACAAAATATGTGTTCTCTAAAGATGATACAAACCTGAAGTCCAAAGCATAACTGTGCCCTGAATCACTTTAGCACAGGAATCTTTAACAGGAGAGTGTTCTATGTCTTTTGGAAAGCTAATAAAGTAGGGTATGGTTTTACCCTTACAGCTCTATCTCTGATCATGCTCCAGTGCTGGCTCTTACTCAACTGAGAGAGTAAAATCACTTTCTACTTCCAGCACTATCAGCAAGTTTAACCATTTCACCCACATCTGTACAGGAATAGCTTACTCAGACACAGATAAACTCAGTGTTCCCCACTGTACTTGCTGACAGCAGTAAAACCTTTCTCAGAACTTTTAATATTTGTTCTCTAAACAATTTTTTAATTAAGTAAAGCCCTGCCATCTCTGAGCACGAATTCTATTTTTCAGTACTGCGAGAGGTTTGAGTGGGAGATTGTTCCCCTTTTGGCTTTTTATATGAAATCTTTACATCATGCAAAAAAAAATATCAGCTTCTGCGACTGCACTCAACACCTACAAAGAACCAAGACTCCAGCCAGGTGGGTTAATGTGAGAAGGGCAGGCATGGCTGACCTCCAAACACCTTCCACTAGAGAGATCAACTGTTGTAGTGGTAGAAATCTGCCCTAGCCTTTCCTCAGGCTCTGCCAGTGCTTTTAGGGTACAGAAAAGCACAAGAGGTAACAAAAATTTGTTTTTCACGATGAAAACATGACATCAAACCACAGCTCCAGTGCTGTACGAGCAGGACTGTGCAATCTGTTGGCTATGAACTACTCCCCAGGCCTCCCAATGCTCAAACTGCCTTTAAGCTGAACTATTTCCAGGCCTGAGATCTTCTCCTTTATTGGGGGAATTATTTGTAGGCTAAAACGCAGCCTGGATGTTACGCCCTTAGCTATTCCTTAGCTTGATTTTCTATTTTAAACCCATGTCTTTGTAACCAGAAGAAGCATTTCTACAGAGCAGCAGTGCCCTTAGTAGGCCAACAAAACAGAAGAATAAAACATTGACCTTAGAAAAAACAGCTTTTTTTTCTATTGTACAAAGTAACAGTTGTCTACTAAGATGTTTCTCTACAGTCCCACAAGCGTCACTATTCTGACTATCTATTATGACAGGAAAATAACATTCTGCGTGTTTAAAGCAAATATTTAGAATTCAAGACACTGAACTATTATTTTCCCTTCAGCTTTCAAAATTGCTTCAGTTAATTGGTACTGCATAGTCCTCCCTCAAAAGCAACAGAGTTGTGCTTTCATAGCAATTTAATCTATACAAACAAAATCAAACCACTCATACCTTGCTTGCCATTTGGGGCAGGTGAAGTGCTTAGAGAGGCAGGCAGCACATCCTGGGGTTTCTAGAACATCCCCAAAGCCTGGAGAGCTCTGTTCTCTTCAATTCCATTTCCTAAACCAGTACTCAACAAAGGGCACAATCATTTACTTGCACAGATTATGGGCTATTTTTCATCACAAAGAACCCAGCCTAAATCTACAGTTACTTAAATTTTAGATTAGAAATCCTGTTCACCTGGTTGAGGTCCTTAAGATCTGTTAAGTGGGACACGAATGACAATGGAACAAGATGGCTCATTTATCCAACATTAAAAACACAAGTTGTGATCTTCCACTGCAATAGAAATTGAGGAAAACTCCTTTGCTGGAGGAATGGTTCCAACTAAAATACGGCAATGACCATAGAGAATTAAGTGAATGTACACATGGCTGCCAAATCTCAGGGAAGATTTGACTTCTCCAGGAAAGTGCTAACAACCTCTCAGGGGACTGACACTTTAGGTAGAATGAAGATTATACTCTGAATTCCCTGAATGGGTGCAGAGGGTGTGGGGCTGCTTGGATGTGGTAGGTGAAAGTATGACAATAACAGGGCAATGTCACAGAGGAGTTACAGAGGCAGGATTGGGTCTATCCTGTTCAGTTCCAGCCCTAAAAAAACCTTCCTCAGGAAATGGATCTGAGAGGAGCCTGCAAGGATTCTTGAACTTGTAAACAAAATTTGCAACTTAAGAACAATGGCTCTTCCTGATCAAATGGGACTTGCCATTAAGGTAAATAAATATATTGGAATGAAAATCAACATAACAGGGTGCACAATTAGAGCTGAAGTTAAAATCAAGTAGCAGAACCTGCTTCCCACAAAAGCACACTATAGACACTGAAACACAGGCACTTTGAAACAGAACAAGTATAAAACAAGTGTACAAATCTGTAATAAGTCAGACTTTATTGTAAACCATTATAATGTAATTACATCAGATACCCTTAAAAGTTTAAGGTAACACCACTGATTAAACAATATGGTCCAAACAGAGGGCAGCAGAATACAGCTGTTGGTTTTGCTCACATTGGCTATACTCTGAATTTACTTACAAACAAACCCCACATTCAGTTTGAGATGGATACCCACACAAGACAAAAACACCTACAAAAGAGTCCCTTTTTTAAAGATACTGCAGTTTTACTTTGTAAAACCATAGTAGTAATTTTCAGTAATTGAACTGGAAACTTCACCTAAAAAAGTTTGCACGCCTATGCTGTAGATGTACTCTGGCTTGGTGTGGCTGAATTTATTAGCTTTCACTACTGGTTTCTCCTGTAAAAAGCACAGCAAAGTTGCAAACACGGGTTAGTCAAGCACAGTGGCAGAGATTCCTTGTGATGCTCAGCTCTGAGCAGAGCGGGAGAGCCCGGGCCCCCCTCCCCAGGCTCGGCAGGGATCAGAGCAGACACCTGCCCGAGGGGATCACTTTGCATTGCTCTAATTTGCAACTCAGTTTCTGAGTTTTCCCTGAAGAAAAGCTATAGTACATTTTAGTTAGTAACATTAACAGACAGCATTCACCTACTTAAAAGTAAGACAAGGGGACTTGAACATATTGAAGCCAGAACTTGGAAACCACATACTAGACAACACCAGTGTTTTAAGTTTATGCAGATGTGTCACAGGTCAGATACTAGGAACAGTTAATGTATTTAGGTTGACCACTCGTGGTAAATTCCATCTCCACCAATATTTGTGTCTCTTCTCTAAGTTATAATCCCTTCCTCTTACTTTGGCATTCACTACATAGCTTATTTTCATTAAACAGAATCCTATTTTCTAAGCACAGCCTGAATTAAACCTTTGCTATGAGCTGTCCTAAAGTACATTTGCCAGGCAGAAATCTGAGTGACACCTGGAGGATAATACAAACATGGTGTTGCAATCTCACACTGGATCAACTCTTTATGAAAAGTCCATTTCAGACTGTACTGCCAATACATTTTAACAAGTGGTAAGACACAGTGAAGCACTAAAGCACACACTCCCTGCTCACACATGCAAGCCTGTCAGACAAAAGGACTTGTTCCTACTCATAATTACTGCAAGAATTTCAATTTTTACCTTACAGAGAGGAAAACAGCTAGTTTTATATTTTCCATCTCTTTCACAATGGTAACAAAGAATGTATAGATAAAAAAACCCAGATTTTGTTACTTACCTAAAATTCTGAATAGAATTATTGTCTTAGTAGAGAATTTAATTCTTTCCCCTCTGAAGGTTGCTCCTCCTGTTACTATTGTGGTATTTAAAATACTTCTGTGTCTTTGGATCATAGTGCTTTACTACATCATCTTGCCAGGCATATCTATATCTCACAAGAAGAGACATTTAAGCACTTAAGACATGAGAAATTAGGCATTCAGAACCTTTTCTATAACCACCTTCAAGAAACTGCTCCGTAGCGCTTCATACTGTTTTGTACTTGGTCAATAAGCTTGAGGTCTGCTCAAAAGAAATATTTTTACATGATTAAGGCCATAATTTTATACTGACACTTCACAGACTAAACATGAGACTAGAATCATTTTGATAATTGAAGTAACTGGAGGAGGGAAAAGGAAGATAAGATGCAAGCTGGCACAGTTAAATTTGTGTGCGCTGCTCAGTTATCTCAGCTGGCGAGGACAGCCATGCTCTGCACTGGGACGTAGCACATGTTCAGTAGCTTTAGTTTACTATCTGAAACAGAACAAATCCTATGCTAAAATAATAAATGCTGACAATTGTGACAAGAGCCAGCCCTAGCTCTTAAATCCCTTTGGAAAAGTGAGCTTAGGAGACTATTCTGTTGATGAATTCCTTGAAGTACTGTGCTTTTGGAGATTGCGCCCGCCCAATGGTCAATAGTCAAGAGAAGATGCGAGTGATACAATCAATAAAAAACTCCACACCCCCCAAACCAGAGGCAACACTGATTAGGGACATTTCCCCATCCCCACCCCCCCATGTCAAAAGAAATCAGGTAAGCTTCCACTGTCATTAGTCTCTAGATTTAGTCTAAAGGAAACACTAGTACTGTAACTTATTGCAGTTCTTACGTTTCAGTGCACAGTAGCAAAGGTCAGTGGCTCAACTAAAACCTTGGGTTTGGTAAATGTCCCTTTGAGCTGGCTGGACACCCTGAGGTGTCAGAGCATCGTGTCCCCTTGGCAGCCACCAGGAAAAGGGATGCTGGAATAGTGAAAGTAAGCACGGGAGCGCACAGTTCAGTATTTACTAAGGCCCAGTTAAGTGGTCTGGATAATAAATCACATTAAGACCTAGTAAATCTATAAAAAAATGTAAAAAATCTTAAAAAGTTCTGAGCAGTTTTCCAATGAAACTGGTTTAAGGCTTGGAATTTTTCTGGTGTCCAGGTACTGCAACAGATTTGCATTCAAGGTCTGTTGTCACCTCTTTGACACATTGCCTTGTCCTGCACAAGGTTTAGCTAAGCAAGGAAAGCTGTCAGAAACAATCATTTAGAAAATATGCAAAGCAAAAGGATATCACTGAAAATATGTCTGCTAGGTTTCAGATCACTACGTGCTCTCAATTATCAGAAGAGACACTGAAAATCTCAGAAATGCTGTGGTAACAACTGCACTGTATCCCTTGGGGTTGTTCTTTTACTATTGAAGGATAATGAGACTTTATGGCAAATAAATAGGAGAAATTTTGTTGTTGCTGTTGCTGTTAAGCACATTAAGTAGAAGATTGCTTTTCCAACAAAAAAAAAAAAAAAAAAAAGGGACAGAATTGTATTTGCAATATTGTAGCACAACTGCTATAATCAGATCACAGTCCTGTACTGCAGGCCCTATAATAGGAAAAGTATCAGAAATGTTCCATCTCTTTTGGGTCATTTGAGAGGTATGCACAAGAGACTTGCAGAAAAACAAATAATTAGAGTATCCATAGATACTCATTTCACAAATAACTTATCACAATGGATTTTTGTTATACACTAAAGTGCACCGTTGTCAAATATGCAAACACCACCTCCTACTGAAAAAGGTATTTTCAAATTATGTGGTCAAGAGCACACACAGGACTGCATTTTCTAGTGATATTTGGTGACTTCAGCAGTGACAGAGAGCTTTTCCCTTTGCAATCCCTTTGTCTTAAATCAGGAGACAAGGATAAATAAGATTTTCACTACAAATCTTTTGACCTGCTCTGCACAAAAAAGGGAACGGTACCCATTTCTCTGATAAAGAGAATCTTTAAATACAACTGTATGAAAATATAACTTAAATATAAAATAGTCAGATAGATTTGAGAAGACTTGGAAAAAAATCTTTGTTCCACCTATTAGTTCCATAGGTACCCGGTAGCAAGTAAACATTTGTACTTAAAAAAATAATGTTAAGTTACAGCTTGTAACCATAAACTATTCTGCTCTAGGAATTATGCTGCAAAAGCCAGTTTTAGTAATAAAACACACTCCTTTAACTTAGTCAACTCTGACGCCTTTTTGAGAACTCCATACACTGTCCCATCAGTAACTGAAAGTGAAAGATTCTGTATCTGTTCTCTCTGATCTTCTCTGACACCTCCCACACGAATCCTCAGTGACTCGTCCATTTCCCACACATGATGAGGAGATGTTCTTGCATAACTGGTCAGTGTGTTTGTAGTGCAACTGAACTGGAAGTCTTCCAACTGCTTTGCCTCCTGTTGGTAGACCTTGCTTCTAAGTCAGTTTGTATGAAAAGGGAGATGCAATTGCAACATTAAACCCCACTGACAGAAGTTTTTGCCATGAAACCTGCAAGTCCACAGGCCAAGGAATGTGTCATACAGGCAGACCAAAGCGATGCTTCTTCTTCTTGATGGGCTTCAAGTTGGTCAGTCTGCGCAGGTCCTCCTCAGCATCCGACTCCTCCATCTCATCATCTGCTGAAATAAGGATCTAAAAACAAATTACAGCTTCTGAGCACATGGAGCAGTCACACTCCTTCTTTCTACTTTTAAATTTTACTTTTTTATGCTTGCAAAGCACCTTATTATTTGCTCAGGAAAGAGCTTAGAACACAATTAGGATTTACTGCCACATCATTGCAGATACTATCAGAAACCTCCAGTAAATTTTGCAGAAGGATGGATGCATATTAATCTCACTATAGCCCACTGACTCTGAACCCAAAGAGTGATGCCACAACAGTGGAGGCAGCCTGAGAGAATATTTAAGGTCTTGATCCACACTGGTAACAAGGTAGTCACATAACCTGACAAACCCCATATAAATAG